GAGGAGGAGGGAGAGAGAGAGAGAGAGAGAGGAGAGAGAGAGAGAGAGAGAGAGAGAGAGAGGGGGAAGTGGAGCCAGTTGGGACTGTCCACCTGGGTCCTGAGGCTGGCTCCAGGCACAGAGACTCCTGGTGCGGCACTGTGCCTTGGAGTTTGGGTTTGGGGCAGAGGACAGACGCCCTGGGGTCGACCTGTGGGCAGGAGCCTTCAGGATTGCAGCTGCTCCTCCACCAGGCTCCCAAGCCTCACTTCCGTCTGTGAGCTTTGGTGCCTTCAAACCCTGGGGCCTCTGTCAGCGTCTGACAAGTGCTTGAAAATGCAGTGTTAGGTTCATGCCCGCGAACGCCGCACACCCCGTCAGCACCCGGACCTGCATGGCCCTCCACTTTCCCGCCATTTCTCGGCAAAAGAACCAAAGGTCAAGGTTCAAGCAGCCCAGGCCATCTGTCCGTCCTGCTGCTCTGCCTGGGACTGGCACCTGAAGCACCAGTGTGGCTTACGGCTGCTCTCTCCCGGCAGCAGCTCATCTTCTGAATTCTGAAGCGGCCATCCAGTAGGGGCAGTGCCATCAGGCACCAGCTGCCTTTGGAGGGGCTTCCCTGTGAGCAGCACATTAGTTCGACGTGTGCCGTGCAGAGGCTGCAAGGCAGGCAGCAGCCCTGTGCCATCCTGCCGGCAGGGCAATGGCGAATGCTGGCCCGGCCCTGAGCCGGAGGTTGCCCTGGGGCAGGAAGCAGCGCTGGGCGGTTTAAACTGTGTGAGGGATAAGCCCAACGGTGAGGCTGACAGCCGGGCTCTCTAACTACCTGTTCCGAGGACAGGGCTGCTGGACATCCTGCCCTGGAGGAGGGAGGGCTGTGCACCCATTTTATTGCTGCAGACGTTGAGAGACTTGAGGAAGAGGGGAGGGAGGGAGAAAGCTGTGCCGCGTCTCAAGGCTGTCCCGGCTCTGAACAGGCCTGCCAAACCGCCCCCCGCAGCGCCCAGGGGCTGGAGAAGGAAGCACTTTAAGAAACAGAGACTTCTGCAAGTAGATCAGGTGTGTAGGAGGGGCGGCCCCAGCAGCCTCTGCAGCCCACCCACTGTGTGGAGGAGGAACCTCCTGCTGCCCAGCTCGTCCAGCTCGCCCACGCCCAAGCAGGCACAGCAGCGTCCCAGTCATTTGCTCCCACTTTCCACCCTCAGGGCATGGTCAGCAGCCCTGGCCGACGACGGCAGGGCCACAGGACCATTGGCTTTCTGTGCCTTTGATGAGGGCTCCCCTAGGGATTCGGCCAGCTGGGGAGTCAGGAAGTTGAGCTGGTGAAGATCAAGGCTGCGCTGGGGAGGTAAGAGATGTCAGTGGCCAATGGGGGACACAGAGCGCAGGCAGAGCTGCCCCCCTCAGAGCAGCCTGGAGCTGCTGGGTGCTCCCAGCAGGGGATCTGAAGTCTCTGGTGCCTGCAGGGCGGAGCGGCCCTCACAGGACGCCAGCCCCTCTCCCACCCCCTCTCCCACCCCCTCTCCCCCGCCCTCCGCCTGCCCGGCTCCGTGGCTGGTGGTGTGGGAGGCGTGGGAGTGTGCGTGTGTGCACATTTAAGTCCCAACTTGAAAGGAGGAAGAAAAGAAGCCCTGATGCTTTGGACCAAAGCCGCAGCTATTCATAATGGATGGGCAGCCATCATGAAAGCGCTCTGTGAGGAGCTGCCCCGAGGGAGGGAGACGGGGCTGCGAGGTGGCAGCTTGAAAGGCCTTCCCTTCAGAGCAGGAAGAGGCAGGCCGGAACCTGCCACCACACAAGCACGCTCTCCCTCTTTTCTTCCCCGAATCCCATCTTGGCTGAGCCATGGCAAAACTAAATTAGAAAAACCTGCAGAGCCTTGGGAGTCCGAGTGGAGCCCAGGCCGATCCATCACCAGGAGCCTGCCCTCTAACCAGGCCTGCGTGGGGTCAACGTGCCAAGTCCACCTTCAACATCACCCAGCAGTGGCCTCCTGACAGGGGTGACGGGCACAGCTGGGGTGCCCAGTGCCAGGCGTATGTCGCTGGCTCTTAAAGGCTAGGCCAGGCTGATCTAGGTGATGCCAGTTCTGCAGGATGGTGGCCATTGCTGGGCATCCAGAGCTAAGGCACTGGCCTGTTTAGACAGGTTCAAGGCAGGGCTGAGGGAACTGGAAGGAGAACGGGCTTCTTTCTCGCCCTTCTGTTTTAGAACCCTTGGATCAGCACCCACGTTTCCCATCCAGAGTCCTGAGAGATCCTCTATTAGATGGCTTTCATGCCTAGCCAGCAAGGGGAGAAGACACACTCTGGTAATGCCACAGGTAGGGACAGGGGACGGAGGGTCCTCAGATCATCCCTAGGCCACCTGAACAACAGGATTGAAGATGGAATGGCCAACACCTGAGGCTCTACGCAGGAGCACCAGGCTGTAGGCTAGCCTCTGTTTCCAAGGACAGCTGGAGGCCCAGGGTGTCTCCAGGACTGCTCCACAATCAGATGGTCTTGGTGGCAGCAGCTCCGCCCCAGATCTGCAGGTGGAAGGCATCTGAACCTGGAGCAGGCCTGCAGAGTGGGCTGTGCAGGGGTTCTCCTGATGCCCAGGGCCAGCCCTGAGGGAGATTCATCTATTTTCAGGACCTTGGCTTAATTGCTCAGGTAGTGTGGTGAGGGGCGGAGACTGACGTTTTAGAGCTCACAGATGATTCTGACCTGTAGCTGGGCTTGCATGTAAATCACGCCAGAGTCCACAGGATTAGGGAATGCTAGAAATCCCCACAGTTCTGAAGTTGGCCCATAGGAATCCAGATTAGGCCAAGGATCACCATTTTTGATAAAAAGGATAGAAAGTTCACAATTTCATGTGGTTCAAACCAATAGATTAAGCTTGTGAGGTCCTCTGCTGTCCACTGCTCTTCTCTATCTAGCATCTGACTTATAACTGGCCCGTATCTTGCATGGATCCGAGATAGCTAACCATAGTAAAAATCATACACAGAGACAAAACAATTGTAAAATGTAGAAAAAAGAAAAATTTATTAAAATTAGCAATCAGGGTGCTAATTAATATAACTGACTACTCAGAATGCATTTTTTAGGTTTGAAGACTCTAAGGCAAAAGTTACACTTATCTTAGTGACTCTAGAGATGATGCCTGTTGGCTTTTAGGGACAGCACTACTTGTGGGCGGTGCTTGCACTGTGCAGATACTGATGAAGAGAGTCTGCCTCTGCTGAAGAGCAGTGACGGCCCCCCGCCCTCTCAGGCAGCCATGGTGCCGTGGGGACATCTTCAGGCCCACAGCCTCCCAGGTTCAGTGGGGCTGGGCAGTGGAGGTGGGTGGGGCGTACTGTCCAGGAAGCAGCGCACCTGCCCTCCCTGCTGCTCAGGCTCCCCGTGGGTACTGCCTGTGCCTCTGTTTTCTGGTGGCGTGAGCTTGGCTTGTGATCACTGTCTGCGCACTGCCTTTCCTGGCCCCCTGTGCGTGATAAGTGTGTGCATGCTCAGCCCGATAGGTGGCCTGCACTTCAGTTCCTGCCGAGCCTGCCCTGTGCCCCAGTGGATTTGAATCAGTTGAAGACAGTTGATTCATTCATCACACTGTTGCCAAGAGCAGATTATGTGCCTGTCACTGTGCTAATCACAGAAATCACCATCCTTGCTGGCATGGAATTCAGCATCACTCGAAGAGACAGTGGGAATGTCAGCAGACACTTGTCAGTACCTGGTATGAAGTGTAGCAGAAGCACAGAGAAGACAGACTGGGCCTGAGCAGGAGGCATCAGTGTGCCACTAGGAAGGGCCAGTGACTTTTCTTAGATGGATGGTACCAGGGCTCAGTTTGCAAAGATGAGTGAAGACACGGACAAGACAGGGTGGGCGGAGGCGCTGCCTGGGCAGCTGCGTGGTGGCCATGAGGAGCCAGTGGGCAGCACACTAACAGGAGTTTCAGGGGCAGGGCTGGAGGTGCTGTGGACAGACGGTGTGTGGACGGGGATGTGGCCAGGAGGGGCACAAAGCACTGTGTTCTGATACAGTTCTGCATATTCTTTGTTTTTTCTGTCAGGGTGTGAGTGCCAAGTCTATGCCGAGCCTGGGATGGGGACTGCCTGCAGCTCCACAGCTATTTTTATCAGCCTTAAACATTTGCCAGGCTGTTGTCATTTCCTTCCACTCCCAGCTAAGTTTAGCTCAGCTCCATCCTCCAGGATGCTTCAGGCAGGATCCCCGTGGGCAGGGGCAGCCCTCTGCCACCAGAGGCCTCCGCCCTGCCCGGTTCCTGTGAACCCCTACAAGCTGAAGAAAGGAAAGGTAGCACCAAGCCCTTTTCCTTCCAGGCTCCAGTCTGCCTCTTCCTGAGGCCCCAGGGCTGTGCTAACTGTGTGGAGATGGGGCAGTTCAATCCGTGCAGGGCTGTGTGCTGTGGAAGGCACGGAAGACCACTGTCTGTCACTCAAACTCGCAGGGTGAGCAGAGCAGGTGCAGAGGGAAGGAGATGGACGGCCCCGTGTTGCATGCACTCCGGTGGGAGCTGAACACAGTCGTGGAGCCGTGGAGAGGCTGCCGATGGCACAGGCTGTGCGGGCACCTCACTGTGCTCTGCCTGGGCTGGGGAGGCCAGCATGGCAGGAGCCTCCCCTGCACCGGGGACCTGGCCCTGTTGTCTGCTGCCTGCACGTCTCTCTTGGCAGCACTGAGGAGATGGCCTTGTAATCACTGCTGTAAGTGTTATTAATGACAGCAGCTGTGACAATGAGCCGAGCCCAGTGCTCTGGCTTTGATGTCAACAGGGAAGAGAGGTTTTCATTTGCTTCAAATGGAAACAGATGCATGGAGGCAGAGCCAGCATGAGGCAGAAAGTGGAGATGGGTTTCAGGGGCTTCGGCGGCCCCCTCCCCACGAGCCTCCGTCAGACAGACTTTCCCTCACTGATGAGCAGGCAGCCTGGTCTCCATGGGCATCCCTCTTTCCCCCAAACCTACACTCCTGCTTCCACAGAGCCTGGTGTCCTTTCAGAGAAGGGACAGGAAGGTGTCAAATGTCCCAGGCTTCAAAGCTCTGCCTTCCAGGCACTGCCACAAATCAAACAGGGCGATTTCAAAGGCAGAGGGAGCGCTTACTTGCCTCCGCCTCATGCTGAGGCTCCCAGCAGGGGGCCCAGTGCAGGTCCATCCATAGCCAGGAGCCTCTGTCCCTGCACGCACACAACTCTGTGCTTGACAGACAGCTCCACTGCAGCAGGACCACATCTGTCTGGCCACTATAAATCTCCGTGGCACTTGCGCCCTGCCCTGAGTGGATCTTGAAAATGCCGTCTACAAGCACTTCTGAAGGTCGCCAGCCAGGTGGCAGGTCCTTGAGGCCCAGGGCCCAGGGGAGCTGTGCTGGGTGCTCTGGGAAGGTAAAGATGTGCAGGGGCCTCTGGCTCTGCCTCCTCATGGCCCAGGCGCTCACCTGGCCGCTCTCAGTTGTGCTGGCCTGAGGCTCTCTGCCTCCCTGCCCTCCAGGGCCCAGCGAGCTCCCCATTGATCTAAATGATTCCTTCCTCACTGCCCTTGACTCCCCTGCTCCCGAGAGCCCCTGCTCCGTTCTCAGCCTCTGGCACGGGGACCTACTCCCTCCCGCCCTCTGCCCACCTTTCTCCCCCTGGCTCTTTTTGTAGGAGGAGGTTCCGGTTGTCCTTGTTTCCAGTGCTGCTGCCCTTTCCTTAGGCCTGACTTCCGCTCTGCTCCTCCCAGCCAGACTGGCTGCCTCTCGAGGGCACCCAGACTCCAGACTCTGGATCCAGGCTGCATGGTTTGAATAGGGCACAGATTCAGGCGAATCAATCTTGTCCCCTCATTTCCTCTTTGAAATAGAATCACAGTTTCTACCCAGCATCCTGTCCTTGAGGGGATTCAGATCAGTAAGTGCAAGGGGCTTTAACGCCAGGGGGCATGAGAGCACAGAGCTCATGGCCCTTGTCCTGGTGGGGGAGACGTCAGAGGCGAGCAGAGGACCCTCCTGGGGCTCTAGGTGGTCCTGAGTCCCAGGCTGTGGTGGAAGCCAGAGGTGGTGTCTGAGCAGGTGGAGGGTCACCACTGTGGGAGCCGCTGCTGGTGGCTCCAGGTGTGCTCTAGCATGGCCGCGGGCACTGCAATTCCACTGGCCAGTGTGAGGCGGCGACTCCCCTGAATCTCCACCTCGAAGAAGAGGCTACGGGGCATTTTTCCTCAGAGATGGAGGGAGCTGCTCTGCGAGCAGTCAGGTTAAAGCACTGAAGTCCCTGCAGGCAGAAAGGCAGAGGGTCCAAACACTGTTTGAACTATTGATCAAACTCAGTGCTGTATCTATGCCTGTCATCCATTTTTATTAGCTACCAAGACATTTGACATAAAATACTTAGTCTCAAGATCAAAACCAAAATGGTCACAATTTTAATCAGACCATCTCACAGGGAATTAGGCTGTGCAAACAGAGGCAGTCTGGGTGGGGGCAAGGATCCTGGAGTCAGAATTTGGCCTCACCACACTAAGCACAGTCCTTGGGGATCTCCTGGCTGGAGGAGGTCTTGGGCTCAGCTGGGGCAGGAGGGAGCTGTGCCTCTTTTTTTTAGCACTGGGGGATCCCTGAGCTTTTTCTCTAAGGAAATCTTACAAAACCTCACATGCAGAAACAGCATGGGCGCAGCCTCTGCCTGCTCCCTCCTCCCTCTGCAGCCTCCCGGTCCTCCCTGCCCTGCTGGCTGTGCAGGGCCCCAGACACCAGCTCCCCGCAGGCACGTGCTGGCCCAGAGGTCTGAAGTCTCCCGCGAGGCTCACGCAGGCCTGGTTCTAGTGCGTCCCTATCCTGCATTTCAAAGCCGAGCACCCCTTCCGAGTTTCATTCAAGCACATTTCAGGGCCCCTGTGGTAGATGGAGGCAGGGCCTCATTCCTCTCTTTGTGCCCAAAGCTCCAGTGGGGACATGAGGCTGGAGCCGTGGCTGGAGCCACTCTTCCTCATGGTGGTCTTGACGCTCATGGGACAGGACCTCCTTCTTCCACTCTCCCAGTCAGCCTCTGCTTCAACTCCAGCCCGTCCTGGGGGCCGCTGGGTGACTCCCGAGTGACGCACATCCTGGTTCCCACGGCTGCTGGCCAAGGCCACAGGGCCAGAGGACCACAACTTCTTCCCCAAGTCCCTGAGGGCTGGGCCTGGCTGAAACGGGATGTCTGCGCGGCAGGTCCAGAGCCACCGTTGTCAGCCATGCTGACTGAACCCATGAGGTCTGTGGGGAGAACTGGTCGGCGCTCCTGTGGACAGGGGGCAGTGACCATGTGCTCCCTTGTCCTCCATCTCCACTCTCCTCTTCTCCTCGGGCCTATCTGGGGGAGCTGTGCCACAGCGGGGGCCTGTCGTCAAGGCACCGGTGGCCTGAGTCCCTTCACGACCAGCCCATCACCAGCAACCTGGCGGGCAGCCGACACTTCTGAAATGAGAGGCACAGGCGTGGTGCCTACCGATCTGCCCAGGGTGAGTACACTGGCTTAGCTCCTAGTCACTGGCAGACCAGCTCTTCCTCCAAAACCACCTTTTAAGGTGATGATTTCTTCTTTACTTCAGATACAAGAGAACATTCTACGTATCAAGTAACAGAATTACTGTTCCACAATTGTGTCCCATTATGAGCTCTTATTTCAATTGCTTTTAACAGGCTGCACGTCTGCCCCTGGGGACTACTTGCCGGCTGTGTTCATTGCCCAAACGCGGGTTTGGAGGAGGAAGTGGGGCACCATGACGCGGCCCGAACTGTTCTCACAGGTACGTTCAGGGCTGAATGCTGTGAGTGCTGGGCTTTGAAACACCTCATCTTAAATAGATTCAGGTCACAGGTCCTGCCCACAGGATGCTACTGCGCGACCAGAGGCCCCTGTTCCTCTGTGGGGTTCTGCCCGGGCTGGGCTGGATCTTGGCCCCACGTCTCAGGTGCCGAGCCCCCGGGGCTGGAAAGCCGGGTTCAGTCAACAGTCTGCCACCGTCCCACAGGGGAAACAGTGAGAGCCTCCCTCGGCTTCATCTGTCCCCAGAGCCCAAAGCCACGGCCCCTTCCCGCCCCTGGACCTCCCTGGCATCCCAGCGTCCAGCAGCCTCACAGTGGCCGTCCCTCCCGCTGCACTGCAAGGGTTTTCAGTAGGCCCCACGGGCTCTCACCTGGGCCGTCTCAGCTGTCCTGTCATTCACGGTTACTCAGATGTCCCTGGAGAGCTGCAGTTCGTGCTGTTTGGTAAGTGGCATGCAGGCAAACAGCAAAACCAGGAACAGTTTCCCTCAGACTCTGAGACCATGTCCCCTGCTCGCTCGGGGAGCGTTTGGGCAAGTGCCTCACCGCCCCTCGTGCCTGCACCTCCCCGCCCCTCGCGCCTGCACCTCCCCTGCGCACCAGTCACTGTGTCCGTGGGTTTGCAGCAGAAACGTTCCTCGTGGACATTCTTCTTAAAATCCAACTTGTCTCAGAAAGCTTTCTTTCAGATAAAACACAAATCCAGGTTACTTTTCAATCTAGGACAATCTAGAAGAACAAAGTATTTTTCCCACAAACGGTTTCACCGAATTTTGCCATTGTCAACACTGTGATGTCTGAATCTGGGTTGGGCACGACGGCTCCAACTGCCCCCAGGGGGTGCACTGGATCACGGCTGGGGTGCAGGTGCACTCGAGTTAAGTCTGACACAGAAGAAAGGTGGGCAGCACGTTCCTGAGCTGTTTCCAGCAGTTTGTCCCTGTGACTGTGCCCACCTGCTGTGGTCACCTGCAGCTTGTGGAAGTGCCCAAAGGGCAGCCTGTTGGTCACCCAGTGCATCTGCTGAGCCCAGGGGGGCTCGGGGGCTTCATCTTCACAGTGCCCTGTGGCTTTCTTGTGGAAACCTTGGATTAAATAAATAAAATGCACAGAAAACAAAAATCTAAACATGCCTATTAATTCAGAGAACATGCATTTTTACTGTGCTCTAATAATTTTTGGAAAACCCAAGTTGGGTAAACTCTGCACAATACAGAGGCACACACATGGGCACACCCACCTGAGGAATTGAAGACAGAAGAGGACAGGGAACACAGGGATTACAGAAGATGCCCCGTGGTGACTTATGGATTCAACACCAAACCACATTAGAGACATGTTTGCCCATGGTCTCCACGGGTCCCAGGAAGAAGGAATGTGGGCACGTGTGGAGGGTGGGGGAGCGGTCTTCTGAACCCAGCTGAAGCTGTGCCCTGGCCTCCTTTCAGCCCACACCCTCACTTTGGGGAGGGAGTGAGGAAACAGGCACAGTGCTCTCCCTCCCACCGGCACTCCCAGGCTCTGGCGGCCACAGGAGGTCGCGGGAGGATCTCTTGGAAACTCCACACCAGCATGCCTGCATTTGTTCTGGACACTGGCAGAGAGGTCTGCTTGGCAGAGGCCCCTTGGTGCTTCTTGGATGGCCTCTACGACCTGATTTAAGCAGGCACGATCGGAAGGCCTGAACACGCCGCACACCCAGCCTGGGACCCGGGCTTGGCTGCTGTCACCAGGGTGTGCCTGTTAGGACTTCGAGGGCAGGCGGTGGCCGCTAACTGCCTCACCAGATTGATTCTGACTCACTCACTTCAAAATGAAAATTGAAATGCTTTTGCCTTTTTTGTGTGGGGAATTCGCTTTACTTAGCACTAAGTGGTATCATTTCTTGTGATTACAGAAAAATGCATCATAACTTTTGATTATGCCGCTATTAGGGATGCACGGTAGCGATGGCTGGCGCTGCTGGTGACCAGGGCCCAGCGGAGCTGAGTGAGTGGGGAGGCCAAGTCGCTCAGACCTGGGCCCACGCGCAGCTCGATGCAGGGAGGGGGGGCAGGAAGAAAGAGCTGCCGCCTCGCCCGCCCTTCTGCTTCAACGGGGGCCAGCTGCTCCTCCTCTCAGGAAGAATCAGGCCATTTTGCCTGCCGCCATCTTTAACAAAAGGCACGCTCTGGCCCGCAGGTGGGGCCAAGGTGAGGAAGCGCCCCGCTCTGGAGGGGTTGGCAGTGCAGGCTGCAGACACGTCACGTGTACACACGGCACGCCCACGCTGACAGGGTTGGGTGCAGCTTGGCGACAGAGGCCTGTCTAGTGTGTGTGAGGCCTGGGTCCAATCTCCAGCACTGAAAAAAAGTAACCTGGGTTAAAAGTAGAAAGATGACCGGAATCTGGGCTCCCAGGAATCAGCCTGGGTCCTCCTTCAGGTGACACTCATGTGGACAGGGACCTGCCTGAAAAGTGTCCCCATATCTTGATCACCCACCACAGAGCACAGGGTGCTCAGTAAGTAGAAGGTGACCACACAGAGGCACGCTGCTCTGCCTGCACCTTCCTGCAGAGCCAACCACTCCAGTGGCACCAAGTGGGCAGCTTGGGCTTGCTCATGGCCAAGAGTTTACACCATAGACATAAACTGGCTTCTCATGACGGTGGTTTGTTGCTAAGCACCGAGGGACACCTCTGCTACTTCATGAACTTGGTAGGAAGGTGCGTGAGCAGCAGGGGGGAGCAGGAAGAGGAGGGGAGGAGGGTGATGGTGTGAGCATGCCTTCAGGTCCAGGCAGGCACCTCCACCTGGGCTCAGGGCCAGCCCCAGGTGCCCTTCCCCCCCCTTCCATCTCTTCAATGGGAAGAAAAGTCCATCCAATTGTTGGCTGGTGCCTGAGCTGGAGGACACGTCTGTAGTCTGTCCGTACCCAGTCTGTGTGCCAGCATCCCTCCAGAGGGCAGGCTAGACTCTCAGCAGTGTGGGAGAGCAGAGCCCAGCAGACCTGGCCATCTGCAGTCGCCCTGTGTGTCCTTCAGCTGCAGCCGTGTGGCCTGACCCAGTTCCTGCCCTCGTCCTGAGGTGACCCTGGTAGGGGAGGGCTGAGACAGGGAAGCAGGAGGAGTAGGGCATGAGGACCAGGAGGCCTGGGCAGCCAAGAATGGCCTGGCTGGCATGAGGGTTACCAGGTCTGGCTTCTGGCTGTGTGGTCAGTCCAGTGTCAGTGGTGAGCAGGATGGCCTGGGCGGGCAGGAGGGGCTGGGCACCTGTCCATCCAGGCCAAAGGTGTGCAAGGTCTGGGCTAGGACAGTGGCCACAGGCTGAAGGGAGTCTGTGCTGCAGGGTGAGG